CCCCCCCCATTCTTTTACCCACCCTATCGAAGTAATTTCCTTTCCAGTTTTGGCGAGTGCCGGATGTTGTCTTTTTATGAAGCCTCTCCTTCCTCCCATGGTGTAATAACGGTCTTGTATTTGCATAGCTGTTTATAGGTTACAAAGCACTTTTCCTTTTTGCTATTCACTTTACTCCTTCAGACAAACTGGTCAGGTAGATTGTACTAGTGGAGTCTCAGGCCCATGCAGTTATTGATTCAAGTGGAAGAGCTGGCTTTCTGACACCAAATCTAGTGGCCCCCTCTCCTCGGCGCAGCTAGACTAGGAGACAGAAGATTTAGAGTGGAGGCACAGCTTTTCTGCCCCATTCTGTCTGACACCAGGCAAGTCCTTCTCACTCTCTGGGCTCTGGCTTCCTCATCTCTAAACAGATCATGATGCCTTCTGTGCTCACTGAAGTAATTATGGTGAAGTCATTTTCAAGTAGAGAAGGTGGCATTCCTTGTTGCTAATATTTACCCCTCAAAATATTTCAAACATATTGGGAATGGAGAGTCAGGGTCTCCTGCCTCCCCCTTAAGGTTAAGTCCACTTAGGCCCATATCAGAAAGTTTTGTTCTACAACTCTGACCTAATAGAGGATCCAGCCACCACTCACCCCCTCTCAAGAATGGGGAGAAGGTCACAAAAATGCTACCAAAATGGCAGGAAAAAATAAACATTTCGTGAAGGATGTATCATTCTGGGTGATATTGTTTGGCCTTGATAATAGAACAAATAATATCTGAAAGCTGGATTGTCTCAGAAGGAGCTTTCTAACATTTCTTTCTGGAGGGTAACAAGGTATTTTTTTAGTTATGGTGGCATTTATCAACCAAAGATAAGGGGATTTAAACTGAAAAAGTGAATAAAATAATTTCTTTTCTTCTCTCTACTTTTTAGGGCAGCTCACTTGCCTCCCTTCCCAGTAGCCTAGGTATCCCCTCACTGCATAAATATATTCCCTAATGTTGAAAGTTCTCATCAGAGTCAGGAACAAGTTTCACATGGGATCTTTTTCAAAGTTGTTTTTTTTGTTTGTTTGTTTTTTTAATGCATCAGTGATTTGAAGCAGGTATTAAACTTCTTAGTCCAAGTTTAAATTTAAAAGGTTAACTTATAATGACAACTGGTGGACAGACTATATTTCAGTTTTTTTGAGAATGAAAGGATCCATGTAAGGGGATTGGTGGTTTTAATATTCTCGTTTCCAGACTGTCTGGACCCCAGGTCTTTTGCTAAACATACTACAAACTAAAGAATCATTTTTGTTCTTTTTTACAGGTGACAGAGTTAATCCTTGATAATTGTCCTTGTGTCAATGGGGAAATTGAGGGCCTGAATGATACTTTTAAAAAACTAGAGTTTCTGAGTATGATTAATGTGGAACTAAGTTCACTGGCCCGGCTTCCCAACTTAAATAAACTTCGAAAGGTAAGTTGGCATTAGGCGTGAAAGCATCATGATTTGAATGCCAAGGGCTATTATTTCTGGTTTTGGGCCAAATGGAGTGACCATTCTGCCTTTTAATTAGAAGCTTCTAAGTTTCTAGAGGTAAGCAAAAGGGCTATGTAGGATTTTGGAATCAGCTCTAATATTGCTTTTAGAAGTTTAAATTTAATAATGAAATCACTTTATAGCATACATTTCAACTTAACATCTATCAAATGTTTTTCTCTGAAACATAAAATCCAACTGTTAAACAATTAGAACCAAACCTATGTTAGGAGCTATTATACAGTCAGTCCCCAGCTTATAGTGATTTGACTTACAGCTTTTTGACTTTATGCTGATGTGAAAGCAGTATGCATTCAGTAGAAACTTTACTACAAATTTTGAATTTTGATCTGTTGCTGGGCTAGCAATATGTGGTACAATACTCTCTTGTGATACTGGGCAGTGGCAATGAGCCACAGCTCCCAGTCAGACACGAGATCATGAGGGTAAACAACTGATATTCTACAGTGTATTTATTAATTATGTTAGGTGATTTTGCCTAACTGTAAACTAATGTAAGTATTCTGAGCATGTGATAGGCTAGGCTAAGCTATGATGTTTGATAGGTTAGGCATACTAAATGCGTTTTTTACATGAAATATTTTCAACTTATGGTCGTGGGTTTAATGGTGGTGGGTTTATCTGGATGTAACCCCATCATAAGTCAAGCATCCATCCATACAGGGGTTTTAATATACTATTTGGTGGTTGTAGGTGGAATTTGGAAATTAATTACTTTTGACAGTCTTGAAGCAAGAGAGAATGATAAATGTTTTTCTTCTTCAAATTGATATATTTTAAAAATCTTTGATCTGTTGCTAAAGTAATTGTGGTGATAGAAATGTATTAGCCTCAGAAGTTACTGAGGTGGTGCAATCTATCCTAGTACAGTGTAAAAAACATCTTTGATTTGTCCTAAGTCTTCACCATTCTTTGTTTTCTCCCCATGTTGAATATATAGTTGGAACTTAGTAACAATAGAATTTCTGGAGGGTTGGAAGTCCTGGCAGAGAAATGTCCTAATCTTACCCATCTCAATCTGAGTGGAAACAAAATCAAAGATCTCAGTGCACTAGAAGCTCTGGTAAGTGGAAAGGTTTGTCTGTGGGCTTGCTTTTTTTGGTTGAATTTGTTGAGATTTACATATATATATACACACACACATATTTTAGCAGAAACAGAAAAAAAATGCTCATTTATTTAGACAAATATTTTTGTTTTTATTCATCAGTGAAATACAAGGATATAAATAAGAAGCTTAGGAGGCATACAATGGTTGCCATGCTGGAAGGAAAAAAGTAAAAGGAGATAGGAAGGTACAATAAAGTTTTAATTTAATCAGTCACTCTCAAATGAGACACCAATATTAGAAGACTATTGGAAACACAAACATTTTAGATGGTTTCTAATGACTAAAAAAAAAATACATTTTATATTCATAGTACTTTGAATAACAATTTTCATTGATAGTATCTGTCAGAATAAAAATGGAAATTCATATATACTGGAAATTTTTATCTCTGCTTATTGTGAAAAATATTGATAAATATTTGTCTAAATATTTGTCTGTAGTTAATATCAGAGGTGAGGTTATCGTATTGATTTTTATTTTACTCTTTGGAAACTTTTGAATTTCTTATGTGTCGTGATCTAGATCAGTGATTTTCAACCTTTTTCATTTCATGGCACATAAACTAATTACTAAAATTCTGTCACACACACCAAAGAACATTTTTTTTTGCCGATGTAACCAAAAAAAGGTATAATTTTGATTGATTTACAAAAGAAAAGTAATAGTAATTACCTACCCTTTTTGGTCCAAAGTGACTTTTAAAAAAATCAGGTGCATATACTTGTATGTAAGAATTTCTGGTACCAAGAATTAACCAATCAAATGCAACCTTATTATTCGATGCGACCAATAAGATGCAAGTTTGTTATATGACTTACATATTTATGGTTCAAGACTGGGCATTCACACCAGATGGCTATTGTTGTGTTGGCTGTTGTCATTTTTTTATTTGACAATCTAAGGGAAAAGAGGTCAGTGCCCCTGACTAAATAATCAGGTATTGCATGTTTTAAAAATTCTTGTGGCACACTGTTGAATATCACTGATGTAGATGGTTAAGGCTTTCTTTTCCTTTTGAGTAAAACACTCAGATAATTTTTTAAATCGGTGAGAAATTTATAATCAACTTTAGGAGTTGAATATCTGGTCTGAAAATTTCTATTATTTTCTTAAATTCTATTCCTTTTCCTTTCTTCTTGATTATTTTTCGAGTTATTTCATTACTTGCTCATTTGCTTCCTAGTACAAGGAAAGGAAAAGAAGATAAAGTGAAACTCACTTTTGCTCTTATTTTTAAAAAGTTTGTGAAGAGGTTGAAATTGTTGAAAGTAAGTTTGACTGTGGATTTAAACTAAACATGTTATTGTCGTTGCCTATTTATGCATAGGTTCAGGCAACAAGTACACAGTGTCTACTATAAGTAAGGCACTAAGCCAGGTGCTGGAGACACAGCAGTTGAACACAACAAAGTTCCTACTCCTGTGGAGTTAGCATGCCAGCACCTCATTAAGAGAATTGGCTGTGCTTGATATAATAACCCTTTATTATAAAATTCTAAAGATCCAAAAATCATTCTCTTGATTTCAAGTATATATTTTCTAGTTCATGAGTTAAAAAGAAGTAACATGATATTTTAAACCTTGAATGTAAGTTTTAACTTTTTACTTTTCCAGCAAAATCTTAAAAATTTGAAAAGTCTTGACTTGTTTAACTGTGAAATCACAACCCTAGAAGATTATAGAGAGAGTATTTTTGAACTGCTGCAGCAAATCACCTACTTAGATGGATTTGATCAGGAGGATAACGAAGCACCAGACTGGGGAGCGGAGGATGATGAGGGTAATCATTCATAATGCTCATAAATGTGCCACACTTATAGCCTCCACTCTAGCCATGCAAATTAGATTGGGCATGGAGTTAGATGTAGAAAAAAAGAAGTTGTTAGTAAGACACGGAACACTGAAAAACCCACAGCCCTAGGCCTGTATTTCTTCTTTTAGATTTCTGATAGCTTTGGGGAACTTTAATGATTATTATATCAGGCTTCATGAAATTTTATATCTGTATAAACTACCCAGTAAAAGTGGCAACTTTTATTTATTTATTGTTCAGTTTTTTGCAACTTTTAAAATAGTACTTAAAAAACAACAACCCTTCATCACAGTATTCTCTATAATGGCCACAAAGTAGAAACAATGCATGTTCGTCAGTTGATAAATGGAAAAACAAAATGTGATATATCTATGTAATGGAATAATATTCAGCCATAAAAATGAGTGAAGTACTGATACCTGAGTGAACCTTGAAAACATTCTACTAAGTTAAAGAAGTCAGACACAAAAGGCTACATATTGTATGACTCTATGTTGAAATGTCCAGAGTAGGCAAATTCACAGAGACACAAGGTAGATTAGTGGTTGACAGGGCTGGGGGAGAGGTGAATGGTGAATGACTGCTAATGGATTTGGGGTTACTTTGGGGATGATGGAAATGCTCTAGAATTGGATTGTGAATATATATATTTTTGGCAAAATGGGTGACTAACAGATAAGATGACAAAATAGCTGTTATTAGTAAAGGGACACTTTGTTACTATTACTGGAAAAGAATTTGGTGGATAAACGCAATGATGAACAAGCAGGTTTTGAAGTGTCCACAAAGTAAAACAAACTTTAGCACATATAATGTTTTGATGAAAATCTATATGTTGGAAAATTTTCAGTATTTAGAAACTATTTTTCAAATACATAGTAAATTTGGGTGTTATAAAGGGGACATTTAAAAAAATAAAATCACCCTGAGATACTTCCCACCCATTGGCTTAAGAGTTTGAAGTGACTGGGGCAAGGGTTAAAAGGATCAGCATATTATCAAGAAGCATTCGCCCAGCCGTTTGCCCATGTCTGAAAATATCTTTAAAGATGGAGATGAAGATGATGAAGAGGAAGATGAGGCCGGTCCGCCTGAAGGGTATGAGGATGAGGAGGAGGACGAGGAGGACGAGGAGGAGGATGAAGATGAAGCCGGCTCAGAGCTGGGAGAGGGAGAAGAGGAAGTGGGCCTCTCCTACCTAATGAGAGAGGAGATTCAGGTGAACAGACCCTTCTTACCTGCACTGAAAATTAATTATTTAGGCGTAGGGCTGAGTACTATGAAAAGTAAGTGCGTGGAAATCTGAGTTATTTTTAACTTGTGGGGGTTGTCTGTCTGCCTGTCATGTTTCCCCCACTGTCCCGGGTCATACTATATTCAGATAATCATAAACATCTGTTGATTTTACCTCCCAGATAGCTTCCAAACCATTCTGCCCTCAGCCGCATGGTATGGTGGAAACATTTACAACGGTTTCTGAGCCTCAGTTTCTGCATTTATAAAACCTAGATTGTACCAACTTCCTAGGATTGTTTTAAGGATTTAACGAAATAATGCATGTAAAGTATCTAGCTGCTGGCACATTGTATGCACTCAAGAAAACTTTTCTTTCCCCTAATTATTTCTTGCCTGTGCTTTTTTTTTTTTTTTTAATCCTCACCCAAGGACATGTTTAGGGAGAGGAAGGGAGAGAGAGGAAACATTTATCCGCCACCCTACGTACCCTCCCTAACCGGGGATCAAAACTGAAACCCAGGCACCCCCCCCCCACCGGGAATCAAACCAGCAACTCTTTGGTGCACCAGCTCTTGCTGTGCTTTGTTGTAGCTTTCTCTGAATACAGCATCACCACTAAGGTGTGTCCTTCGAAGTGCTTGCCTGCATAGTTTGAATGCAAATGTGATCCTATCACTAACCTGCTTGAAACCCTTTAATGTTTCCCTGTTGCCACCAAGACACACAAGGCCCTTCATTATCTAGCCCCTGCTTCCTTCTCTGGCTTTATGTCACTTCAATATGAAATGAAATTGTCACACGAAGCTATTTCTTGCCTTTCTGTCTGTATATAATGTGAGTATTCTATTAATATAAACAATGCATAAAATTCATTGTTTATCTGAAATGACTTTGTACCCGTGCCCTCTAATGAAATTTCTTTTTTCTGAGGTAAACATAAATATAGTAAAGCATGTAGAGGTCCCTGATTTTATGTACAAGTCCATCAATTTTTTAAAATCCTCACCCGAGGATATGTTTTTTAATTTATTTTATTTATTTAAGTACTTTTTTTTAAAAAGAAAATGTCTTTATTGATTTTAGAGAGAGGAAGGGAGAGGGAGAGAGAGAGAGAAACATCAGTGATGAGAGTCATTGATTTGGCTGCCTCCTGGTACTGTGGATCGAGCCCATAGCCCTGGCATGTGCCCTGACTAGGAATCAAACTGTGATCTCCTGTACATCGATGCTCACCCGCTGAGCCATGCTTTCTTAAAACTGATTTTGAGCGAGAGAGACATGGATGTGAGAGAGAAACATCGATTGTTTTCCCTCTCGTATGACCCCACTAGGGATCAAACCCGCAACCTAGGTATGTGCCCTGACTGGGAGTGGAACCCGAGACCTTTTGCTATATGGGATAATGCTCCAACCAACCGAGCCACACTGGCCAGGGCAAGTCCCTGGAATTTTACGTGTATTTATATTTGTGTAACCACCACACAAATCATGCCTTGTGAATTATCTTTAAAAACTCAACTCTGGAGCTGCCTCATTATTGAATTTTTTAATAATTTTTTATAGACAATCACTCCTTTCTCTTTTACCTTTGAACCTTGATTAAGCTTCTATTATTACCTGTAGACACTTTTGTAAAAACTTATTTGGCTACTTTCTGCTAGATGGTGAGATCTTTAAGGGGAAGTAGGGCCATTCATCTTTGTATCTCAGCGTCTCCTGTATTTACTGGGACATAGTAGGCTCACAGGAAATGTCAGTTGACTTGAACAAATGATCTTTTAACTCCTGGGAGCTTACATAAGCTATTTTCTCCTAATGTTAATTAATTGAGTTTCATTTTCATAATTTATAATTTAAAACAAGTTTTTATTATTAAAAATAATATCTTATTTAGACTAGAAATTGTTAGTATTCTCATTTGTTTTCCTCATGACTTACATTGGTTAGATAGATGATATCACTGATTAATGATAATTTTTTTCTGATACCATTTTAAATATAAAACTAGTGTGGGGAAAAATAGGACTCAAACTTGTTTGGGCCCTTAGTGAATTAGGAGCTATACAATCGTGAAGAATAGAAACATTTAAGTATTTTAAGTATTCATAGAGAAGGGCAACCTGTTTGATTTACATCAGCATACAACTTGAATATTTTTTACCTAAGTTTTAATTTATTTAGTAAAATAGTAAGTCATGTTATTTTGTCTTTGGCTTTTTTGTTTGTTCGTTTTTGTTAATCTTCACCTAAGGATATTTTTCCGTTGATTTTCAGAGAGACTGGAAGGGAGTGGGGAGGGGGAGAGAGGGAGAGAGGAGAGAGAGAAGCATCCGTGTGAGAGACATCCATTGGCTGCCTCCCGCATGGGCCCCATAGTACAAGTGAGGAAACATTTTATTTCCCACTAATTAGGAAGTGACCAGAGTCTTGACAGAGCAAGTGTCTGGTGGTCTAATAGATGATTTAAAAAAAATAAAGGCCCAATTGTCCCATGTACCGAAAGGTCACCAATTCAATTCCTGGTCAGGACATATGCCCAGGTTGGGGTGCCTATGAGAGGCAACCGATCTATATTTCTCTCTCACATCCATGTATCTCTCTCTCCCTTTCCCTTCCTCTCTCTCTAAAAGTCAATAAAAACATTTAAAAAAAAGTTTATAAAACATTTTTTAAAAAAGGATTAAAAACATGAATAAACCAATCTGATCATATTTTCTTTAAAACAAATTCCAGAGAAGTAATTAGCTTTTTAGAAACTTGGGCTTTTCTAAATTATCAAGGAATAAATGTGATTAGTATCTCAAATGTTTTAAAAAAATTATAAATACTTAAGTATCTTCATTTATCATTTCTTGCAGATTTAAGATGTTTAAAATGTTTCTCTCTTTCTCCTTCCCTCCTTTACTTTCTCCTTCCCTCCTTTACTTTCTCCTTCCCTCGTCTCTCTTCATCTTTCCCCTCTTTTCTATACCCCCTTTCTCTTCCTTTCTTTTATTTTTGCCTTTAGCTCAAGGCTTTTGGGTTTCCTGATTTTTACTGTGGTTCCTTTTTGTACTATTTTCTACCCCATATTCCTTCTGTTCCTTCTGTAGCTTGGTGGTATTTTGGTATGGAATGCTTTACAATGTTTCTATTAGCTAAATGCTGGAGAATTAGGTTCTGTTTAGTATTTCTAGACATGAATGGGGCCATGGATACTGTGAAAAGTGTGGGTTATCCAAATTTTCCCTAACTACCGAGCAGTTCTTGACATTTTCTAATTAAAGTATTTTGAAGGAGCAATAAACTTTTGTGGAGTTGGAGGGGAGACCCTAGATTGGTTCCATTTTTTTAGACATATTGTAGAACTCAGCCATTTAGAACATAGCCAAAAACAAGGCAGTAAGTATAAAAGGCCTCTGAGTAATCAAAATAAAAGACATTTTCTTTGTAGGACGGTATTCAAGCTGTTATTCTAAACTGATTTTCTCTTTTATATTAAATCCTCTGATAAACTTGTTCATCTATTTTCTGAACCCATAGCAGATTAAAATTGAAATTGTAACTGACTGCAAAAGACAAGGCATAAAAACTAGGAAAAGATACAGCTCAAAGTAGAAGCCAGGGTCATTTTAAAAATGGGAAAACCATCCTACATATATTAATAGGCTCTGAGGGAATCGGCATATACTGATTAGTATAAAGGTTTGCTAGGTTTAGCAGAAAATGGTAGAAGAGTGTACAGGGTACTTTAGAGATTTGTATCCCAACTGGCTAAAGTAAAAAAGCTGGTGTTGATGTTTCAAGGCTATGTTTAAATCTTAGCTCTCCAGAACAACTCATTCTACAAGAATTGTAGATCAAGTTTATTGTGATTTTAATTGACATTTGCTATTTTGATACTTAGATTTTTAGATGTAGAAGGAACTTACAGATCATTATAGACAAATACTTTCTTTTATGAGATCCAGAGATTAAGTGACTTGTTTAACAATTTAATTGTGTTGGGGCCAGGATTCAGGTAATTCCTACCATAGTGTATAAAATCGAAGACACTCTTAAAAGACAGAAGACTCTCTCTATTATAGTAGCCATATGGCCACTTAATTATATTTCAATAAAATTATAAATTCATCTCATTTGCATTGGTCATATTTCAAATGCTCAGTAGCCATGTGTGGCTAGTGGTTAGTTACTGGATTGGACATCACAGATATTGACATTTCCATTGTTGCAGTGTTTTGAATGTCACTGGTCTAAAAACAACTTATTTTCATAAAAAAACTAGATTTAGATGGGTTTTTAAAAAGATCATACATAAGTTATACAGAGGTTACAAGAACATGGAATAACCAGTTTTTCTGCTGTTGTTGGCATGTATTATCATCAAACTTGAAAATCTGCGTCATGGCTCATTTATTCTCACACTGAATATTTGGATTTCAAGGATGAGGAAGATGATGATGACTATGTTGAAGAAGGGGAAGAAGAAGAGGAAGAAGAAGAAGAGGGTGAGTTATATGAGCCACAAAAATATCTAAAGTTAATGTTACAGCTAGTCATGGACTTTTAAGAATGAGTCTATAATTCAAAATTATTACTGATCTCCTTGATTTTGGCAATATATCATAGAATTGCCTTGAAAGGTATAAAACCTTTTTAAAGGAATTTTCTCATGGTATTCATTAATTCCAATAGAAAAACAGCTTATGACATTTACTTTCAAAGTAGAAATGAAGAGATAATAGATCTTTAAGCTCAGCTTATTATTTTTTCAGGGTCTTACATTTTGGAGAGGGTGAAGCCTTCTCTGGGAAAGGAAGAACAGTTGAACTCGATAATGCTCTTTTTAGATTTTCTCTCTGGTACTCTTTACCTAGGCCTTCCAAAAGAAATTTAAAAAGTCACTAATAATTCCATTAATATCAAGCCCTTAGTTTCTTGATCTGTACTTCATGAGTTGGCCACAAGGGTGCATAGCAAGTTGCCATTATTTATGGATTTCTAAGTCTATTACATCCGTTCAGTACACTGAAGTTGAAAAGAAATTCACAGAGGAAACTTAACCTATAATTTTCTTATGCCATTAAGTTTTTACTAAGATAGATTCAAAATTTTGTAACTTAACAAATATTTATTTGTTAAAGTTAAGTATTTCATACTTTTCCTTTCATTCTTCTTTCAGAAGAAGAAGGTCTTCGAGGGGAAAAGCGGAAACGAGATGCTGAAGATGATGGAGAGGAAGAAGATGACTAGATCATTCTAAGAACCAGATCCCCTAAACTCCTGGGTGTGCAATAGAGTGGTCACATCTTGCTTCTTCATGTATAATAGCTATCCCTGCAGAAGATAACATGTAACTTTTTGTAGGAAAAGTGTGGTTTTACTATTTTTGCCTTATCATTCCAAATAAGATTGACTAGTCTGTTAATGATCATGTTGTATGTAGAGAAAAGTTTTCATTGACCTCCATTGTGAAATTCTCTAGTGGTTTGTTTAGAATCTTACTTTTTCTAATACAAGTTTACTGTATTAGTCATTTTTAGTCCATAATTAAAACATGATGGCTTTTGCACAGGCATAGTATGGTGCACTTCATTCATAAGGTTTTAAAGTTATTTATAATTAACTGAAATCACAGTCAGCTGGAATATGGAATAAAAATAGTCTCTTGAATGATAAGTTGGTTATTTTTTTTTAGAGGTGACCCAGAGATCTTTAGTTTGAAGGCAGTGACTTTTTTTTGGCTAAGGGTTTTTGGGTACTTATTTGTCACATGAGTTACTTGGAAAGTAGAAGCTGAATAGTAAAGGTTCTATTCAACAATATAGTTCATGGCTTTTGGGGAGGTTTTTGAAACATTTTAAGCCAGGTGACTAATAAGATTTTATTTTTGAAGGAAAAATGCTTATAGTAAGTTCAGAGACATGCAGGGAAGCCCTTTGTTCTCAAGCTGAATGAAGATCATGACATGCTAACGGTTGTTTATTTTGTTGTTTTTAACTGTGCATTTTTCATTTTCAGTTCCTTTATGATCATCTTTCTTGTTTCACTCTCCTTCCTCTTCTCAAAAAAAAAGTTGGGAAACTTATGAATACCCAGGAAAACCTTTATTCTTATACCTCAAATACCTTTTCAGACCTGTCTCAGTTTTAAAAAAAGCTAAGTGAAACAAACTGAGTATTTTCTGAGATACGAATATCATCAATGCAGTTTTATGCAACAGACTGCTTACTGGAATCTTTCTTGGTTGACAAGATATACAGACTGTAGAAGGATGAAGAAAGAAAAGAAGCAGATGAGCTTTTGGAAGCAGCAACAGTGTTCCTCAAAAGTCAGAATAATTGCCTGTTGATAATTAATGAGACATTCAAGTCAAAATTTTAAGTTAGCTTCCCGAATGACTTAGCTACCACTCTGCAAGCATTTCTAACTTTTCTGAATAGAACCTTTAATTATTCTTTCTCTAGTTTTAAAGCATTACCAGATATAGCATTTGATTGGAATATATTAGGCAATGGGAAAAATATTTGAAACTAAATCCGTATTAAAATTAAGATTTGTTTTCAAGTAGATGTCCATTAAAAATATTTGGGAAAAGTGTGAGTGTGTGTTTTCTTATATTAGTACTAATTATGAGTAGACAAGTTCATCTCCCTTTTTGTTGTGGAGGCTCCATGTTCAAGGCAATTGCTTTTTAAATCTTGACTCTCTAAATTTCCCCCCCTTTGTTTTGAATATTTGTAAATTTTTATAAGTTAGTGTCAGCAAATTAAGTTACACTTCCATACATTTAAATTACTGAGTATAGTTCTGCTTCTTTTTTAGTTTAAAAATGTATGACTTGGGGTTTTAAAGTAAAAATTAGAAAGTTATTTGTGGATAAACTAAAAAAGTTGCACAACTGACTGAAATAAAACTCTTGGGATAAGTTTAGTGAGGGGATTCGAATATCCAAATAGCTAACACTTTAGTCCTTTTAAATAATTGAAATGCCCTGTTTTAGTCCATAAGAATTCTTATCACATTGTTTGCCAGATTATAAAATACTTATTTTTAAAATTAAATCTATATATTGACTTTCTTATCAATCATCTTATTGTGCAATCAAAATTAAGAGTTCTCTGGTCGGAAAAGAACACTTAAGAGCCTCCAAATAACTTTTTAAGACTTATTTAGCTTTGTGGGTAATATTTTCATGCAAATAAGTCAGGGTGGGTTTTATATTTTGTAGAAGTTTTGGGTCCTATTTTAATGCTTTGTATGGCAGTATGTATATAGTGTGTTAAATTCCTCAAAACTCTCCTTAAAAATCTTTGAAGTTAATACTTTTGTGCAACTGTGTTTTGAATAAAGCCATGACAGTGTTAAAACAAACAAAAAATGCAGTACTCCTGATTATTCTTTTATTGTTTCTGACTGTTCCTTGTTTTTTCTGAGACTGCTGTAACTTAAAGTTTTTGAAACCGAATTGCTTCAAATAAATTGAAGATTTGTTAATGATTAGTTTCAGTGTATGATATTCACTTTTGAACACACCTTTGGGAGCGTTGAACATCTTTTTAAAAAATGGAGAAACAGCTTGAAAGTTAACTCATTTAAACACTTGGATGTAATATGAAGCATTACAATTTAATAGTTAACTCATGATCTGCCTTAACTTTTTTTCCAAGAAGTAGAAAAAATTCTAGATTTTCTTAATTTTTCTTTTGGAGTTGCAAATTGAGCCAGTACTTTTTGTATTTTGATTTAAAGTAATAACTTTATTACCTACAGTTGAAGTAACTATTATCTATAGTTAACTAAAGTTACAACTATTGTATATCAATAGTTTTCTAAAATGCATCCAAATTCTCCATTTATACTGTATATTTATCTTCAGAACCCTTAGATAATCTCAATACAGACATATATAATTCTTGCATGTTTACCTTTAGTAAATCAAACCTGAACCAAATAATTTTTTTTCTGCTCTCTTGGTTTTCTTGTGGTTTTTAAAATGTTTCATTTGTAGACAACTCTGGAATGTATTTTAGCAAATCAAGGCACAAGTATAATGTTAAGTAATGTTTTAGTGATTGCATTACAGTTTAATATTGAGAAGGTATTTTAATTATGCAACTCTGCTTCATGAAGAGATGGAAAATATTGAAGTATATTTCAACTACAGGAATTGTTCATTAAAGTTAGTAGGGTATATTTGTCATTTTACATCTTTAAAAAATTCAAAGCCTTTTCCCTCTTGGTTAAAGGAAATGGTAGAACTACTAAAAGTTTTTGGTGGAGGTGTTAGATAATAAAGCAATTCTGAAAGAGACTGCAATTCAAAACACTTCTAAGTAGGTATTGTTTATTCCTTGTTCTACATTATAAAGAGAGGCTTTTGAACATAGGACATTTATTCTCCCAATTGCTGAAAATTTCCCTTCTGTTATTCTGCAGCTGTTGCTTAATTACAGCATTCTGCTGTGTTCCTTATACATATATTAATCAGCCTAAGATTCCAGAGCCTGGCTTGGGCAATTTGTCCCCAGGCAGCTACTTGTGTTACTAGTCTATTGGACAGCCCTAACCTGAAGGACAATAGGTTATACCACAAAATGGAAATTACAAAATGAGTTGATCTCCAGGAGAATCTAAAAAGACTACAAACAGGTAAAATACTTTTATTCCATACAAATCTAACCACTTTTTTGGGTGGGAAGACCTTGAAGTGGGGTTTACCCTGTAATATCAATTCTGATTAAGAAAGAAGCAGCATGACTTTTTAAATTTTACGAATGTTTACTAATTTAAATTTTTGTTAAGGCATCATTTGGACCTGGTCACTTATGCAATGGACACACCCACATTTACTGGTCAATACTGGACATAGGCCACTAAATACGCACACAATGCTGGTGAAAACAACCTATTTTAGCCGTTCAAGAAGTTACTTTGATACTTAAAATACTTCCCTATTTCTCTGATTCTCCTATTAAATACTCAGACTTTATCTTGTAGATGAAGGCCATGATCTGTGCCCTCCACTTTAGCTGTCACTTTTCCTGGAGTAGACAGTCCACAGCCCCAGAATTAACTCACAGAGGCCATACCAGGTTCCTCCACTTGGAGGCATTTTCTCCGAGGGTCCTCGCCTTTTGGCAGGGAGACGCCAGCACCGCGCTCAGTGGAACCCTGTGTCATTTACATAGCTGTGACTGAGGAATACTGCGACTGGTAGAAGAATCTATAAGTGTAATGGAAGGAACTGCAGTTGAGGCAACTAAATTTAACCAACACAGCTGCACCAGAGGAAACCAGCGTCTGCAAGGGAAGCAGCGATTACCATCACAGTGCAACTATGGCAGAGAAGCCAGTGCAAGTCGGGCCCTTTGAGCTGTGCACACTCCCCTCTCTGGTTTTCTGAGAACATTTTGAGTTAAAAACGAACTCATTTCTGCAGTGCTGAGGATTTATATTTGTAGGACATGAGTGAAACCTTTCAGAATAGGATTCCAGGTGAGGGGGCTTATTATTTTTTTACCAAGCAATCTATACTGGGATATGTGGAGGGAAATTTTCTTTTTTATTGTTTTGACATTTTATCCTTTTGCACTATTGTTCGCTTCCCCACTGCCAAGGGTCGTAGGCTGTAATTGAGTCTCATCTGTTTTGCTTTTACCCCACTCCCTTCTCACTTCAAGGACTCCGGCCTTAAGACTGAGTCTCTAAGTCCTTTTTTCTGTCATACTTCTCTGGGGGCGAACCAACCACATCTTCCAGGCATTTAAAAAAAATTTAAATGTATCTTTATTGTTGAAAGTATTACAGGTGTCCCCTCCTTCCCCCTTCAACCCCCAGGTAATCGTATCCTGGCATCACTACTTCAGATTCCTGATAGAAGGCTTGAATAAAGAGATCGGGAGATTTTATTTAAATGCTCAAATGCCTCAAATGCTTAAATTGGAATAAAGTGCTCTTCTGGGACACGCGTTTTGAGGTAAATTATGTATCCTAGTGCTATGGGTCACTGGCCTTTCTATGCGTTTACCTTAATGTCCCCAAATCCTCAACTCCTGAGAGTTTTCCCCTTTTTAGGATACTATTTTTACAACAGCTGGACTCCAGATTCTGGAGTCTCAAGCAGTAAGAGCAGGATTTCAGCGCCTTCAAGGGAGAGCAACAGAACCTCAAATTGGAGAAATGACACTCTAGCTCTGGAGGAAAAGACAGAAAAAGCACCACTTTAGCGCGTGTCCCTACTTAACAAAATTATCTGTGACCTTAGCCAAATTTTCAGCTTCTCAGAGACTGTTTGCCTACTCCGCCATCTTGACTGGAAGTCCCCTCGCGCGCCCCTAATTTGATTCGGTGGACATAAGGCAAAAAAGGCCTGTCAAACCGGAGTCTTCGACTGAAGAGCGGAGACGACAAGCAGCGAGATTAAAAAGAGGTCAGGCCTGCGGCCTAACCCGCGCTAACGGAACCGCTCCCCACGGGCACTTTCCGACGCGTCCCGCCA